GTGACACCTATTGCAGACTTCTATGGTCGAAACTGAACTTGAATTTCGAAATATGAGACACAAAATAAAACTTGAATTTGAGTGGGCCAAATATACCGCGAATTAAACCCAAAATCATTTTAATTAGTTGCAAAAACAAAAACGCTTTTGATTGGCCATGTGGCGTGTATGGGAACGCATGCGCTTGATGATTTATGAAGGATATGCAGGAGACGCCAGTGTGAGAGGTGATGTAGGTGATAATGGCGGAAGATTAATGGAAAAAATTGAGAACATTTTGGATATGCTATCTCCGTTATTATACATTTCCGATGGTAATGTAATTAGATGAAAATTATCTTATAATTAGACTTCTTATTAGAATATGATAATAGATTAGTGGTAGGAATGTGCGGTGTGTAAACGCAAAAATACCCAGGTTTTATTAGGTTCTGGTAAATGTCGCCTCATTTATAATGAAACTTTCCATGCACAGCAGAAATATGGTTAAGTAAAGGTGTAGATAACGGCTACCACCAGAAGTTGTTTGGGTCAATTTTCACTAACGCACCGGTCTTTGTTTGGATATTAGAAATATGTTTCCCCCATGTTATTTGATGAGTTTCGAACGGATTAGATATTAATTTCTACCGGAAATCAATAGTTTTTTAGACCCCCCCCTCCACCCTACCCATCAATCTTAACGATTCTTTTATCTCGAGTAAATCCTTAAATAAAAATCCACAAACCAACCAAACATAACCTAACCTATCCTAACTTAACACTAACTAACCTAACCTATCCTAACCTATCCTAACACTACCTAACCTAACCTATCCTAACCTGACCTAACCTATCCTAACCTGACCTGACCTAACCTAACCTAACCTAACCTAACCTAACACTATTTTCTGATGAAACTCTGCACTTGAGGTAAAATAATCTCTATCACATTGTCGGCACAGCTCTTTCCACCTGTTCGGCCATATCTGGTTATTCTGGTATTGAAAAATCAAGTCTCCGCTCCCGACTCACCTACGTATTGTTCATTGGCTAAGACAAAAAACTCTTGCCCAATTATAAGTCTCCTATCACTATAGTCAATAAGAAACTCCCACAACATCCCCCACATGTGCTGTAGACGCTCAAGAAGCCAACATGGAGGTAAAGAGCACCGTGTGATGGGTGGTCAGACCTTCTCTGTGAGACGTAAACAACAAATGGCCACACTTGTGACTGACCAAATCTAATAATAAAGAAAAATTAATATCTCGGTTATCCTTAATTTCTGGTGTAAATATCACAGATGATAAAGGTCTTAGAATTGTCTAAACATTGCGAAATACATATTAATAACAGCGAGAGAAATACCTGTGCAAGATAAAAATTCACCGTTATTTGTTGATTTTCTTTATTTTTGCTGTACTTATTGTTTTGATGATTTTAAGTATATTAAGAGAAACGACAACTTTCTGTTAAGATGTAAGTATTTATTTTATTTACTCTAACCTGCTTCACAATTCTCCTCCCGGCTCCATTTTTGTTGTTTACCTCGCTGAATCCCTTTTCAAGAGACGTTTCCTAAATGATGGTGAACGCTTCCACGTATTCCTCCTTGCCATTGGTGATTTATATCAACCTCAATATTAAGGTAAGTTCTGTAACACTTAAATTAACATGATAATGCATAGAACCTAATAGAACCTGACCTAACAAACCCAACCTATTAGGTCAGGTTCTAGTAAGTTCTATGTAGTGTCATGTTCATTTATGTGTTTAATATTATGCTAATAGTGTGTCAAAAAATTTAAACCAAATTGCACATTTATTTTTTATGGTACAGTTTGACAATCCCTTATCCAAAATGCTAGGGGCCAGAGGCATTTCGTAATTTTTCTGTTTTCAGAATGTTTTTTTTTTTTTTTTTTATTATTATATATGTGTATTAGCCCACCAGGGCATAGATCACTGGCCCACATCAGGGCCTGGGGGGGCGAATATAATAAAAATTATAATAATAAAAATAATTCATAGGTCTAGGACTCGAGGTCGTGTTTCTCACTTTTGATCTTTTTTTTTTCATTCTTGTATTTCTTTATTATTATTATTATTATTTTATTATTATAGTACAGTATTTTTATTACTTTTATTATTATATATTATTATTATTATTAATGTTATCATTATTTTATTTTGGTGTATTTTTATTAAAATTTTTATTTACTATGAATAATTATTATTATTATAATTATTATTACTATTACATTTTCGCCCCCCAGGCCCTGATGTGGGTCAGTGATCTATGCCCAGGTGGGCTAATCCCTGTTAAAAAAAAAAAAATTGCTCCGTCAGGGGGTCGTGGAGTGGTGGTCCAGCAGGCGTCACGGATTTTTTTTTGGGGGCTCGGACGTATATGCGATTGGACGTTAACCGGCGCATGACTGTACTTGTAAATTAAAAGTCCGGTTACATTGTATTATTATATACAAACTTGTCATATTTCTGTAAAATAAGAAGCAAGAAAATAAGAATATACCGGTAAACACAATTTCAACGTACGCTAATATTAAAGGCTGCTTAAGAATGGCCGATGCAAAAACAAAGCCTCCGCGACCTGGGCTCTGCCGTATCAGCTAGATGGTACACGTGTTTTTCGAATCGTTTTCAGTTAAAAAACTGTTACATCACAAGTGAATTAGGACAGAATATTATTGTAATACAACAGTTTTTTAAGTGAAAACCATTCGAAAAGTGATTACGGTAACATCTTTTGAACGAAAGAAAGCGAAAGTCATTGTTTTCGTCACGATTTTATCCCACTTTCCATTGTAATACGTACGTTATTTCAGCAAAAAATATTACATTTCCATATTCTCAGAAATAAATAGTAGTTTTGCTGAAACGTGATGTATTTCAATGTAAAATAGGATAAACTACATGACGAAAACAAAAGACTTTACCTAACCTTCTGATGTTCAAGAGATGTTACTCGTTTTTTTAACAGTTTTCGGTTAAAATACTGTTATATTACAATGATATTCTATTCATACTGTGCTTGATATAATACATTCAAGGAAATGTAATATTTTTGCTGAAATGACGTACGTATTACAGTGGAAAGTGGGATAAAATCGTGACGAAAACAATGACTTGCTTTCTTTCGTTCAAAAGATGTTACCGTAATCGATTTTCGAATGGTTTTCAGTTAAAAAACTGTTGTATTACAATAATATTCCCTCCTAATTGACTTGAATAAATACTTGAATGGAAATATACAATATTTTTGTTGAAACTACCCGCGTTTCAGTGTAAAGTGTCGTAATAATAAATAGTAAACAATTTGCCTTCGGCACTCGTGTTTCAGGTACGGCGACCCTCAGTTTTTAGGACATAGAGTGTTTTTAGTGAAGGTTTTGTTGTTCCATTACCCTCAAAAACTTGGGTCGACCTATAAACGAGGCATATCATAAATTAACGATTTCTTGGTAAAAAACTCAGGGTCGACCTATAAACGAGATAGAATTATAGACGAGTATATACGGTAATAAATACCAAATTCATGTACCTGGAATTTTTTTAAATTTACGTCTGGAAAACCTGGATAATCAAGGATTTTTTTTCTCTGGCCAGTAGACACCCTGGATATGTTAAGTATCATTTTTATTGTTTATCTAAACCATTTTTGTTCATTTATGATGTATGCAATTTGATTGAATTCGACTCACCTTGTGCTCATTAAATCATTTAACTCTGAACCACATCGTTTACTGTATATAATAAACCAATCGTTTAATTTTGAAACCATTTATAACTAACTGGTTTATTAGGGAGCACAGTGTGTACTGCCCTGCTGGGTGAACCTGTTGTTCGCCCTTTGCTGTTATCCCTCGTTTAGTGATAATTTTTACTAACATTAGGTATTTGAGGAATACAAACCTGTACTGGTGTTTTGTGTGTGGGTGAGGTGTATCTTCAGTTATTTAAAGGAACTCTCTTATATTATTTCACTAATATGTTCTACTTTACTTCCACAGATATGGAGTGAAAAAACAAATGGCAGTGGGAAGACAAGCAGTAAATTGTGACAACACTGATTGCCATGGAAAGCTGCTAGTTTATTGTGCACCCCATAGTCATCCTTTAAATGGTAGTGCAAAAAATATTGCAGAGTAGAGGTCACAGAGGTGTTTATCAGACCCCAGTGATCAGGTTATTGTGGTGTTGAGCGTTAAAAATTTTTCCAAAACATTATTTGTTAAGTTCAGTGTATTAGAACTTCACTGTTTCCACTTGTCTGCTTGCTTCAAATTCATCATAAAGTTCTTGCCTGGTTACAGTTGTTAGGGTTCTGTTTGACAATCCTAGATTGTATTCAACAATGACTTTGTTGGTCACGAATTTAGGAAAGGCAGAACATTATGTTTGGTGCAGGTGTAAACAACAGTGGACATAGACAAAGTATTACCAACTGAACGAAACAATTCTAAGTTGACAAGAAATTATTCTTTGATGTGGAAATATGTTGTAAAGATTTCTCCCCTCATGAAACTTTTGTCACATGTAGTAAAAGTTTACCAGCCGTCACAAGTACAGTAGTATATCAGCCTGAGTATTATTGTTTACCAGCCGTCACAAGTACACTAGTATATCAGCCTGAGTATTATTGTTTACCAGCCGTCACAAGTACCCTAGTATATCAGCCTGAGTATTATTGTTTACCAGCTGTCACAAGTACAGTAGTATATCAGCCTGAGTATTATTGTTTACCAGCCATCACAAGTACACTAGTATATCAGCCTGAGTATTATTGTTTACCAGCTGTCACAAGTACACTAGTATATCAGCCTGAGTATTATTGTTTACCAGCCGTCACAAGTACCCTAGTATATCAGCCTGAGTATTATTGTTTACCAGCCGTCACAAGTACCCTAGTATATCAGCCTGAGTATTATTGTTTACCAGCCGTCACAAGTACAGTAGTATATCAGCCTGAGTATTATTGTTTACCAGCCATCAGTATATCAGCCTGAGTATTATTGTTTACCAGCCATCACTGTACTATGTCAGCCTGAGTGTTATTGTTTGCTGTACACCAGAGGAACTGCACATATAACAATAGTGTACAGTATAATTTTTGTACACTTCTCTGTTGAGTGTTTTTATAGTGGATGTTGTAAGTCATAAACAGTGTTTGTTAATGACAAGTATAGTTGTATGTGTAACTCATTCTTTACACCAATTTTTACATTTAGTTCAAAGAGGTATAGAGGAACCTTGTTAATAATGGTGTAGTCACTTGACAAACTGGATATTCCATCACACTTACCTCCTCACTGTCCTCCCATCTCAACATCATGTCAGCAAATCACATTCACTAATTGATGTATGTTTCAGTTTTCATTGTCAAATATAATTAACAGTAACAAGACATTAATAGTTCTTGTAGGAGGAAACAGTTTGCCAGTTAAGTGTCACTAAAACCTTTGAACACACAATACACACAGTTTTATAATGGAAGGTCTCTCAGAGGAACAGGCAGAGTCTCCCAGAGAATTGTCTGTAAAATCACATCAAGTAACACATGTGAAAGATGACTCACACCAGACTCTGTTTGTGTGTTCAGAATGTCTTAAAGGATTTTGTAGTAAACAGGGGTTATTGACACACATGGTAATTCATAAAGGAGAGAAACCATTTCTGTGTTCAGAATGCCTTAAAGGATTTAGACGTAAACAGGCGTTATTGAGTCATATGAGAATTCATACTAGAGAGAAACGATTTCAGTGTTCAGAATGCCTTAAACGATTTAGACGTAAACAGCATTTACTGCAACATATGAAAATTCATACAGGAGAGAAGCCATTTCAGTGTTCAGAATGTCTTAAAGGATTTAGAAGTAAACAGACTTTAGTGGAACATATGAGAATTCATACAGGAGAGAAACCATTTCAGTGTTCAGAATGTCATCAAGGTTTTCGTAGTAAACAGGGGTTATTGACACACATGGTAATTCATAAAGGAGAGAAACCATTTCAGTGTTCAGAATGTCTTAAAGGATTTAGAAGTAAACAGACTTTAGTGGAACATATGAGAATTCATACAGGAGAGAAACCATTTCAGTGTTCAGAATGTCTTAAAGGATTTAGACGTAAACAGTATTTAGTGGAACATATGAGAATTCATACAGGAGAGAAACCATTTCAGTGTTCAGAATGTCTTAAAGGATTTAGAAGTAAACAAGATTTATTGAGTCATATGAGAATTCATACTAGAGAGAAACCATTTCAGTGTTCAGAATGTCCTAAAGGATTTAGAAGTAAACAAGATTTATTGAGACATGTGAGAATTCATACAGGAGAGAAACCATTTCAGTGTTCAGAATGTCCTAAAGGATTTAGAAGTAAACAAGATTTATTGAGACATATGAGAATTCATACAGGAGAGAAACCATTTCAGTGTTCAGAATGTCCTAAAGGATTTAGAAGTAAACAAAATTTATTGAGACATATGAGAATTCATACAGGAGAGAAACCATTTCAGTGTTCAGAATGTCTTAAAGGATTTAGACGTAAACACCATTTATTGAGACATATGAGAATTCATGCAGTAGAGAAACCATTTCAGTGTTCAGAATGTCCTAAAGGATTTAGAAGTAAACAAGATTTATTGAGACATGTGAGAATTCATACAGGAGAGAAACCATTTCAGTGTTCAGAATGTCCTAAAGGATTTAGAAGTAAACAAAATTTATTGAGACATATGAGAATTCATACAGGAGAGAAACCATTTCAGTGTTCAGAATGTCTTAGAGGATTTAGACGTAAACAGACTTTAGTGGAACATATGAGAATTCATACAGGAGAGAAACCATTTCAGTGTTCAGAATGTCATCAAGGTTTTTCTAAAAGTTATCTTCTAGTAAGACACAAGAAAGATCACCCAGAAAAACCTTTCCAATGTGTAAGTTGCATGAAAGACTTTAAAGAGAATGAGAGTTTTATATTACATGCACAGAGATGTCACCAGACTGACCAAGTGGTCAACTCTCATCATTATGAAGATGAAAGTTGCCAGGACATGAGCTTGTCTTGCCAACCAACAGTGGAGATGTGTGTCTCTGAAGGAGTGAAAAAGGAGACTAATTATGATACACTCTCAGTCATTTGTAAGACAGAAGCTTCACCAGAGCCGGAGATAATTGATCAATCTTCTTTAAAGATGGAGTGCCAGGAAGAACTAGATTTTGTTAAGGAAGAACTAGATTTTGTTAAGGAAGAACTAGATTTTGTTAAGGAAGAATTCTGAAACTGTTTTTGTGGAATATTTGTGGTTTTGATAAAGAGTAAAGTTTATATACTGCACAGGTAGGGACTGAAGGTTTGTGGCCAGTGTAATCAATAGTAACACATGTACTGTATTGGTAAGTAATTAATGTATCACCTTATATAAATATCAGTAATGTGAGGGTAGAGGTACTGTATACAACACACTACAGGTATACCTGACATACATGGTAGAGGGTATACCTGACATACACAGTACAGGTATACCTGACATACATGGTAGAGGTATACAACACACTACAGGTATACCTGACATACATGGTAGAGGTGTACAACACACTACAGGTATACCTGACATACATGGTAGAGGTATACAACACACTACAGGTATACCTGACATACATGGTAGAGGTATACATACACAACACATTACAGGTACAGTATACCTGACATACATGGTAGAGGTGTACAACACATTACAGGTATACCTGACATACATGGTAGAGGTATACAACACATTACAGGTATACCTGACATACATGGTAGTGGTATACAACACATTACAGGTATACCTGACATACATGGTAGAGGTATACAACACTACAGGTATACCTTACATACATGGTAGAGGTATACAACACTACAGGTATACCTGACATACATGGTAGAGGTATACAACACATTACAGGTATACCTGACATACATGGTAGAGGTATACAACACATTACAGGTATACCTGACATACATGGTAGAGGTATACAACACAGTACAGGTATACCTGACATACATGGTAGAGGTATACAACACACTACAGGTATACCTGACATACATGGTAGAGGTATACAACACACTACAGGTATACCTGACATACATGGTAGAGGTATACAACACATTACAGGTATACCTGACATACATGGTAGAGGTATATAACACACTACACTCTACAGGTATACCTGACATACATGGTAGAGGTATACAACACACTACAGGTATACCTGACATACATGGTAGAGGTATACAACACACTACAGGTATACCTCACTGTAAATGCATCATGAATGTATCATAAGTACAGTGTTAAGTGAAACAATGTATAGTGCACATAATTGTACCATAGACTTATTGAAGATAAGCTCAAACCCTCTAGAGGTCAAGTGTTTCTCTCAGCTGAATAAAATCATTTGGTCTTAACCAGGAAAAAATACCCAAGTGTGCTGCTGACCTCTGAAGGGGTAATGGTGTAAATAGAGGTTATACCTGTGTTTCTGGTCAATGTTTTATATTGTTGTAAGGATGAGACATATGTCAGTATAACAACACTTACCCGAGATAAATATGTACAATTATTATAACTTGGTCAGTAAGAGGGTTTGTTATTATGTATTTAGAAATTTATTTATGGTATAAGGAGCAATGGTATTACCCAGCATGCACTGTGACGGAGGTGAGGTGGCGCGGGGGAGAACGTGCTGGACAGGTGTGCCGTGAGGTCCTACAAGTGGACAAAATATTGAAGATTTTAGTAATAAGACGGCCCAGAGGGGCATCAGAGTATATGTTGACATTCATAGGTAGAACTACACTGTACATACCTGCACCTATTAAAAAGAACAAAACCTATGAGATCTATATTCTCTCTCCCCCAACACTAACTGCCTATAATAACGTGACACCATCATTCAGTGACCCATGGACCCCCTCTTTCACCTCACCCCTGAGGTGGGTTAAGCCAGTACTCCTGACAATTACTCTGTGTGTGAGAATTACTCTGTTGTTGGCAAGATGTTGTCAACAACCGGTGGCTGGCTGACTCGGCGTATTCGAGTTAATGATGAAAAACAGGTGAATTAGTGGTGCCGCAGTTTTCTTGTTGAAAAGTAGCACAATAGTAGGCTCTTTCGCAGGTAGTAGGCAGCTACCAAACAGGGAGGTATTACCGCCTGGGAAGATATTGGAAGCATAATGTGTTGTCTGGTGGTAGACCCTGCTGCTATATGACATCATGAAAATTGTGACCAAGCCCCAGGTTGCTGATCTGACTTCTGCCTCATTTACACACAATTGCAGGGTCTCAATTGTTTCTCTTTCTTTGACAACACAACATACTGTACATATATCGTTTCTCACCATTGATCTTTTTTCATTTTTTTATATCTTTATGGTTCTTTATTATTATTATTAGTGTCATTATTATAATTATTATTATTTATTTTTTAATTTTGTATTTATTATAAATTTTAAATACTTTGCACTAATTATTATTATTATTGTTATTATTATTGTAATTATTATTTCGTTTTCGCCCCCAGGCCCTGATGTGGGTCAGTGACCTGTGCCTGGGTGAGCTGTACCTTGTAAAAAAATAAATAAATAAACAATAGCAACACCATTTAATTCCTGGGCAAGCAGATTAAAAGTAGCCCGGGTTTGGCATCACTGACTGTTGGGTGCTGTAAACGGCTTTTGTGCAAGGAAGGTAGAGTAAGTTAAGCTCGACTCCCCATACAGCTGCGTGCCGCCAAAAAATAGCATCGAAACACTAACTAGGCACTTCATAGTTGGGTCGGTCACCAATTAGCGCCACCGTCGCGTGAGAGTCGTCTGCAAAAAAGACTATATTTTGTTATTTGACGTCATATGGTTGGACATTCAAGATTCGTTCAGTGTGACAAAACTATAGTTACAGGGAATGGCTCCTAAGTTGTCATGGTTGTGTTGTTTGTAGGAAGGACAAGAAAACCACAAACATTTAAAATTCCATTGCTTTCCTAAGGATAAAGACCGGTAAGATTATAATTACGTCATAAAGGTAAAGTAGTTAAGTGTAGTTACTAGTTTAAGTTACCATGGCATTGGTCACTGACTGGTGTCACTGTATATCAGTAATTGAGAGAGAATGAAGTTTACATCTTCATTAAGCTTTATATGAAACTTTATGCTAAATCTAAGCATTTTCGTTTGGTCAAGACAAGAATATGTATTGAAAACACAATTACTGATATTGAAGGTATTTAGTAATTTTTAGTGTACAATATCCTTCAGTGCAAGAAGAGGTCATGGTAGTCATGATACTGATAGTATATTGCATCATGTATTGTTTACATGTTTGTGTTAACAATGTAAATACCAAATATACTGCAGTGATATTCAATTATACTATCAGTATCATGACTACCATGACCTCTTCTTGCACTGAAGGATATTGTAATGAATTTGTCCCGTTAGTTCGGTCCCTCAAACTACTAAATATTAATGTTGTTTTCAAGTATGACTCAACCATTACCAATATGTTAATAAAAAATAGCCCAAGTTTGAATGTAAATGGAAGTGTTTATTGTATTCCATGTAGCACATGTAATGGTAATTATGTAGGACAGACAAGAAAAACATTGCTGCTCAGAATCAGACAACATAAGTACAATATCAGAACAGCATCTGAAAGCAGTGCCCTGTTCGTTCATGTTAGGAATAATAATCATCCCATTGTTTGGGAAAAAAGTTTAGAAGTATTCAAATCATCTTGTGTCACAGAAAGACTTCTGTTTGAAGCTAGTTTGATTAAGGAATTAAAATCAATAAACCTTAGTGATGGTCAGTTCAAAACTGAGAATATGTTACAGAAAATTTATTTGTCAGTGGGCCAAGGTTAAAAATGCTTTGAAAACCTTGGATGTAGATGTAGGATAGTTATTTAGTGGGTCCCTTATTTTTGACCTGACCTGAGTAGTCACGTCGCCCCCTTCTCTTAAGCTTGTGGGGTATAGGTTATTTGTTTGCACTCAGGATGGGATGGAGAAAGGAAACTCACAATGTGCTCTCTATATACATGTTGTATTGGATGTACAATGCAGCTTGGTGCTGGGAAGGCAGCATGGTTACAAGCGTGATGTAGAGAGAGCTTTTTGGTGAGGGTGCTCAGAGGACAGCTTGTGGGTCGCCATGCTCGCCGGCGGGAGCGAGGGCCGCCAGGCAGGAGTGGAGGAGGAGGTGTTGCTTCAATACTGGCTGTAGGTAGAAAGAGATAGGTCACCACGAGGTCAGGTCTTATATAGCGGAGGTAGGCGTGGCTTAATAGTTGACCTCCGTCATGTAAGGCAGCGCTGGTTGACCTAGACCACGAGGCATACACTGGGGAATTCGCGGGGTTGGCTACTTAGCGATAAGCATTTGTAGGGAAGGAAACCACTACAATACTCCCCCTTCCCCCCAGGCGGTGTAGGAGACTTGTTGTCTGCAGGGTTGCATGGCACATGCGAGGCAGAACGGGCGGTGCATGCCACATGCGAGACAACGGCGAGGGCGTGGATGAGCCGGCCGCTAGGGGAGACAACTGTCTAGACACACGAAATCTGTGGGAGAAGAGGGGGAGAAAAAGGGTGTGTGGGGGCGATGAATGTTGTGCTTCTGTAGCTGCAGGGGCAGCGTCCTCATGGTCACTGGCTGGGATGACTGGGTCAGGGGCGACGTCAGGAGGAGGGTCTATGATAGGAGCAGGTTCTACAACAGCAGCAGGGTCCACGACAGCAGCAGGGTCCACGACATCAGCAGGGAGTGCCTGATGGAAAAAAAATGGTGTGTGGGGGCGATGAATGCTGTGCTTCCCTCTCGGCAGGTACAGAGTCCTCAAATGCGCCTGCTGGGGTCGGTAGGACGTGGTGCTTGGGGCAGGAAGAGGAGCTGGTGTCTGCTTAGAGAAGCAGTGCTGCTCTATGGTGTCTAACCTGCGGTGTAGAGACAGTAGCTGTAGAGCCGATGAGAGCTGCCCCTGTGTGGATAAGCCAGTCTTCCATGTTGCTTGAAGACTGGGAGAGTGATCGGTTTCTCCTCCATCCTGTGTGAGTGCGAATCTCCGGGGGTCACAATTTGTGGGATACGTGATATTTGGTTCACACTCAGGATGGGATGGAGAAAGGAAACTCACAATGTGCTCTCTGTATACATATTGTATTTGGATGTACAATGCAGCTTGGTGCTGGGAAGTGGCAGCGTGGTTACAAGCGTTGAGTAGAGAGAGTTGGTTGGTGAGGGTGCTCAGAGGAGGACCAGCTTGTGGGTCGCCATGGTCGCCGGCGGGAGCAAGGGCCTCCAGGCAGGAATGGAGGAGGAGGTGTTGCTTCAATACTGGCTGTAGGTAGAAAGAGATAGGTCACCACGAGGTCAGGTCTTATATTGCGGAGGTAGGCGTGGCTTAATAGTTCATCGCTTCTGCTTTC